TGTCTCGGTCTGAGTCTTGGTACTCCAGGTCTAACTTCTCAAGAAGTCTTGAAACTCTGGTCTCGCACCTTCAGTTCTGCACTCATTTTTGGCCTTTGTCTCTGTCTGTCTGGGACCTTTAGTCTCAGTCTGGGTCTTGGGATCCAGGTCTCGAACCTTCAGTTCTGGCTTGCAGTCTTGGGCCTTTAGGTCTAGGTCTTGGTGTCGGTATCAGTCTTATAACTACAGGTTTTGGTAAATTTTTAGTCTCAGACCATAAGGTCTGTTTTGGTGTTTGGATCTTCAGAACAACTTCAGAGAACAACTGCAACTCTGGTCGTAACTGTTTTTGTAACTCAATGTGGATGTGCCTAGTGATTTATTGGATTTCTTATATTCATTGCAGTATGTACGTCGTGTAGGCAGCATGAGCTCCATGTCTGGTGCTGATGACCAGGTCTATGTAGAGTATCAGAGCAAGTCAAGGAAAGGCCAAGCTCAGCATCCACTCTTCAAGAAGTTTAGATGATCTTCAACTCACTGGAAGACATCGGAAATCCATGGACTTGAAGTACATACTTTGGCTACGAGACAGTCAAGAAAGTCGGCCAATTGCAGAAGGCATTTCTGTGTTCCCAGATGGAAAAGGAACATCATGAACATTTTGAAATACCCATTGGATGACCAGGATTTTAAGTTTCATCCAATAAGTTTATCCTGTGGCTACTCTTTACATTGTTGATGTGTAAAGTATCAAGATGTTTATAGAAAATATCCGTAGTCAAGTATATGATGATTACAAACAATACAAGTGTGCATACAAAGAAGCAGAGTACGAGTACTGCTGCACTTCATGAAGGCCAAGCAAAGTGAAGAAACTTTCGGACACAACTGTTGCAGTGTCTTTGCATTTCTTTGGGATCACATAATTTGTGAGGGGTTCTGGCAAAATGAGACAGAACTGAACAGAGGTTGAAATGAGGGTTTGTAGGTATTAGGAAAGAGAATAAAATGTTCCTTTTTGTTGCACTTCCATTTAAAGGGAATGTACATCATTGGCTTTTGCTGTAATTTTCAGAAATGAACTATTTGAGGGGTGAGTATAATAGATCAAATATTGTTACACTGACATTTGTGAAGTTTTGTGTTCGAAAAGGTTGGAAAAACCAAGAAAAACAAAAATGTTCAAGTAGTCTGGTTCCCTGACTCCACAAAAGATAAAATGGATCAATTTATAGATGATGGAAAATTGTAAGGTAATGGAACCAGTCTAGCTGGCCTGCACCTGTTCATGAACATGTAACCAATAGCAAACAAAATTTTGACTGAAAAACAATGGTCAATTTGGAGCAGTAGTGAAAAATAGTTGGGTTTTTCCAACGCTGGTCGGCCGACCACCGTTGGAATGTATACAAAAATACCATTTTCTGAAAATGACTTCACACCAGGTGCCATAATTTTACAAGATGCTTGAGACTGTCATTTACCAACATCCTAGTAGGGTATTTCGTAAAAACTTGGTAGTTTTATTTTTCGATGTTTGCAAATGTTGTATATTCCCTGTAATACCCCTTTAATAGGCATTCCATTGACGAATTATGGCTGTTTAAAGGGGTATTACGGCCTGAAATCCCCGAAGATGTTGTTGTGGATTGTTTACTTATCCTTTTTTAAAGGTCTGGTTGAAAGGAAACTAACCTAATGTCGTATTGTTCCTGAGAAAAGTTGACTATTCCCGGATGTTTACCTCTTGACGCGGCGGACATTTTGTGGCATACGTATTTCCAGCCCTGCCCATTCAATGTACATGTACGGTACATGTTGTGTGCGCGACACATAATACACACAGCACCAATACACAAATGTTGTTTCTGGCACGACTGCAGAATACTAAGCACTGGGGAAACATATGCAGCAGGATTCACAACTAGCACCCAGCACGAACAGCTTCATTTTTGAGTCAAAATTTTAACCCCCGAAATTCGTTCTCACAAGAATAACACAAAAACACCCAGTTTTTAAAGGATGGTTGTGTGGAATGTTTATATCCTTCTTTTAAATGCTCTTTCCAATTAACATTTTGTTTAAAACGTGTTTTGTAGCCCAATTGGGCACTTTCCAGGCTGCAATGTCCTTTTAAACATCACATTTATCGTCGCATTTATCAACATGTCAAAAGGTAAAATACTGAGAAAAAGGTTGTTAATTATTGAGTTTTGTAGTCATGAAAATTTAAGGTGCCAATCATTTATCCATAAAAACACTTTTAATCCACGAATTTTATACTATTTCTTTAAAATGTAGTAGAAATGTCAAAGAATCTAAAAATAGAAGAAAACAAAAATAGAAAAAACAAATGGAAAAAATCCACCCCATTTTTTTTTTTTAAATTTTTCGCCACTGTGGCCTGTGCCCAGTTCTGTCTTATTTTGCTAGTACGAGGAGTACCGAAGTGTGACGTCATTTAGAACTGGAAAGTGTAGTGCAAACGAATGGAGTTACGCAAGAGTGTTGGTTCACGATCTGAATCACGCGGTAATGTCTTTCACACACATTTTGTTCGTGCGACGTATTCACTTCTGTACTCTATTTGTGAGGACAAGTGATGTGCGTGGGGGAAGCTCGATTTTCCTCGGTAGTTTTCCAGGTTTAATGCCCAGCAATAAGTGACTGCATATCCATGTCACAGGCAAGGACTACCTACAGTCTGTTCTGTAAGGACCGTCATGTTACGCCAAAACTCAAGAAACGTTGAGAGGAAAAGTTAAGTTGTTTGAAGTAATAAATATTTATTATTTTCATTACAATGTCGTGTCCGACTTGTTTCTTTGAGTTTTAAAAGGTATCGTATATGTACCATTAACACACAAAATGCTTCCATGGGAAACATTATTATCACATATAAGTAATCTAATTAGCGCTGAATAAGTATAAATTATATCAACTACATTTATTGCATCAAGATTGATTTGGAATAGAAAATTTGAATAATCTTTTTTTTGTTCACAAACATGACGAACTGCAAAAACTGCATGTGTTGTAGATTTGAACCAAAAACATTTAATACTTGAGAATAGCACTTTCAGCATCGTGAAAATGATGTAATCTGTGAGAACTCTTTGCATGGTGGATATTCACATTTTGTCCTTTCAATTGATGATGGGGAATAATGTGTATTTTTTATTAAGTGCAAGTATCCACCAATATTGGTGCTCAAGGCGCTACATCATTATTACCCTGCTCATTGGGCCAATGAAACAATATAAAGACACTCTCAGCTCCCTGGAGTAAACAGCTCAATGCTGCCATATTTGCCCTCACAAGTACCCAATTTATACTCCTGGGCGGGGAGAAGCAATGAGTGTGACAAAGTGCCTTGCCCAAGAGCACACACATCATAGCCGCAGGCTGGACTCGAACCCACAACCTGCAGAATTACCCGCAGACCACCAATTCAATGCCCCAGACCACAAGGCCAAGGCACTCCACGTCAACTCCAGCATCAGAGCCATTTTGAAAAAAAAAGATTCTTTAACGGCTTTTTTTAGGTGGCTGACAATATTTTAAAGCTTATTTAGGTTTTTTAGATTCAAAACATAAATATGCAGATTTCCATCATGTAGTGTATTTCTGCAGGTTGTATCACTTTGTTTGCAAGTCCAAAATTGTGAATGACATGCAGAGTGAATGCACAATAACCAGAAAAAGAGCTAATAGAAGTTATTGTGAATAATTGATTTAAGGTTAAGTCACTTTAGTATCACATAATCTTTGAACATTTTAGATCAGTATTTTCACAGTGCCTACCCTTGATGTACACTACACAGTGTACCACACTGGTTAGATATTCACAACAAAGCTATGCACTTTACATCTTTCAAATTATTGTCATTGGCACAGATGCTGAAAGGGTACCAACTGCAGTGGAATATTGAATATTCATAAATACAGTTTACCCATTCCTATTGGTCAAGAACATGTTACGTTGGTGGTTTTAAACGGTTAATAAAAGATGGACTGATATTTAAACATTTTTCTGGTGTCTCCCGAAATTTGGACTCCTATGAAATCTGGTCCCTTTTGCCCACACGTGACCAGTGACTCTCCTAATTATCATCACTAGGCATGCACAGAATACCAATGCATGAGTCCGTATTTCATAGAGTCCTAACTTCACACTACACCAGCACTGCTGCTTTTTGCGCCACATTGGGCAGTGTGCGCCACAAGCGCGCCAATCTCCATATAAGATGTTTTGTACTACTCACGCAAGGCACATACCATAAACATACAATGTAGCTAGAGGGATGTTTCACAAAACCTGAAGTACAATTTGTTGAGCAAAATTGTGACCGAAAGGGTATGAATGGAAATAATTATGTGCTTGGCCGGTAATGGCCGCGGCAGATAATGACTCGAGTCATATATGACTCGGGTCATTATCTGCATCCAGGCCTCTAGCCGGTTTTAAACGTACTTGTTTAATACCGGCCAAGCACATATTTATTCCATTAATATTTATTGGTTCAATCACATCATGGAAATATTGTAAGACACACAAAACATACATACATGTACATCCAAGGCGTCGTACCATTTATACCAATTAAAATCAGTATGCTTTTCCAAGGTTTACCAATTTTGGCAAACTTGTCTGGAATGCAGCCCCACTAAAAAGGATATCACCACACACCATTTAAAACTGATCTTTATGATCTTGGTCAAAAAGACCCAAGTTTAGAGATTATTCGACACAAATTGTTCACATGGAAGTAAAACCAAGCACCTCTGACAAGCTATTCAACTTGTTTACCATTTAATCCGAACTAGTCTAACATGTATTCCTAAATGGTCTACTTTCTCTACTTCAACAGTTTCCTGTCAGCTGCATCTGTATTAGAACTTGAATCCACAAGGCACATTTCATGTACACAAGTTTCAACAAACTACAAAAAACACCACAGAATTGAAGGTGTTTTTTCCTTTCTTTTTTTGCAAAAGCACCATGACTGTAACTGAGTTTACTTGACAAGCCCCAGTCGTTTACCAAAGGATGAGAACATGACTCCGACATGAGTCATGTCACAGTAGGGCTCTTTGCTGGTCTGCTTGCATCGGCATAGTAGAACCGTCTTGGGTTTGTCGACCATGATCATCACAGGTTTGAATTTGGTCGGCTTGTGAGCGCCGTCACAAAAAGGCTGCAGGTAGGAACAAAGGAAAATATAATATTAAAATAAAACAAGTGTTCTTAACACAAAGTGATTGGTGGTGCAATTGTCACCTCTACCACATTTTAATGAACCACAAAACAAATAGGTGCATTATACAGATCTATGATTCTTGTTAAAACAAACTCAGTCGGACCTAGCCAAAATGTTTGTTGTATTAGAATTTTGTCTGTAACCAGAATTTAATTTGCATTAACAGAGTTTGTATTAACGAGAGTTGACTGTAATAAGTTTAAAGTTGAACAAAGACGTTGACTAGAGTAACTGGTTCGAACCTGTGACCTCCCGATTGCTCTACCAACTGAGCTATCCAGCCCTATGTTCCAAGGCGCTTCCACATTATGTCAAAGTCTTTGTTCAAGGGGTGCTAGTCAGAAGCTTTTTAACTTTAAAAATTACATATTTTAATGCACTGAAGCTGAAAATTCCAATTTAATGACAAGATTGCTTTCATTCTGTGGGTACCTATAGCAATTTGAAATCGGGTTAAAATACACAAACCTGATTTATTTAGTGTGAGCATAAAATGTTATTTTTATCAGATTTAGTTCAACTGAGCATTATATTGGCCACAGTCATGCCAGTGTGACATGTCGAATGCTGCTAACTAGGTTGGTTTATAAATTGATGTCTACTAGAATTTGTATGGGCAGGGCCAAAAAAATTGACTGCTGTGTAAACAAAGAGTGTTTTCTAACATTTCCTCCATACATACAGCCTGTCTAAATAAAAATGGTACAATCGAAAACATTTTTTGTTCAATATTAAATCTCAACATAAGCAAGTCATTTTGAGCATCTCATAGAAAACAAAGACTGGGCTTTCCAATAGTTCTTGTTTCATCTCATTTGCTTTTGTCAATCCAGAGATAACTCCAGTTTACTGCGGAACACAAAAATAGAGTTTGTGCCACAGTACTCGAAACAACTCTGCCCATGCATAAAGTGGCACAAAATCGATTTTGGTGTATCGCACTAAATTGATTATATCTCTGAATTGACAAAAGCAAATAAGATCAAACAAACACTATTGGAAAGCCCAGTCTTTGTTCTTTAATATTATGCCAAGTAAGAATGACTTATTTTGAAATTTCATATTTAACCAATTTTTTTTCTGATTGTACCATTTTTTTGAGACAGGCTGTATAAGGCTTATACACGTCGTCTACTGCTGTGCTGAACTCAATTAATTTGACTTTTTTATCAGCATGGCGATAGCACAGCATTTAGAACCATTTGGCCCTACAAATTGAGATTGGCACGGCGTTCCAAATGGCAGTTGCATGACACTGTTCTAAATGCCACGCACGCATTTTAAGAACGCGCACGCTCACAATACCCTCTCTCATTTCACGGGGAGTGAAACTGGTGCAAACATGCTTCAACCTGGCCAGTACTATAGATTAGGGTTAAACTATTACGCTCGGCAATAGCATTAAGATCAGTGCGGCGGCGCAGCGAGCGGCAGTGCGGCGGCGCAGCGAGCGGCGGCGCAGCGGCGGCGCAGCGGCGGCGCAGCGGCGGCGCAGCGGCGGCGTGAAATGAGAGAGGGTATTGTGAGCGTGCGCGTTCTTAAAATGTGTGCGTGGCATTTAGAACAGTGTCATGCAGCGGCGGCGGCGTCTACATGTAGAACGGGCCTTCAAACATATGTCAATTTCCTATGACTGAAGTCTGTAATATGAAAACGAATATAAATCTGCTCCAAACTGCTTACTGATGGATTGACCTGAAATGTGCGAATCAAAAATTAGTGTGGCCTGATATATTTTGTCTTTAGCTGACTTCTTCAGAGCAAATGACCCTCAGGCCCAAAAAAAAATTATTTGTCTCTGGTCAGACCAAAGATCCGGAATTGATGCGGCGACGCATTTTTTTTTTTCAAGCTTGGATTGAACAGACAAGGTGGGTACTATTTTGCTTTGTTGTGTCCTCATATACATTGGGGTCCTCCATAATTTGCCTTGGTGCCCTCCATTGCCTTTGCAATTTCCCCATTCCTTGGTACAAACATTTGAGGAGGTGCGGCATAGAGGGCGCTACCGCGGACAATTTGAAGAAAAAAAGGTTGACGCGCATGATTAAAATCACGCGTGCGCTGACCAGAGACCGACGAATTTTTTTGTGTGGCCTAACCACCCTGAATCCTTCAAATCCTCTTTGCCAAAGTGGAGGAATTTGGAGGATTGAGGTTACATGGCAAAATTGCATTACTGATTTCACAGGATGCACTTTGTCAGGTCTTGGGCAGGACCTTGTGTTGTTTTTGCTCAGCTGTGCATAAATATAGGCCTGGATTATGCTTGAAATCTTCCGTACTGCTCCAGGATGTCACTGGCCAAGCCTCAACATATTGACAGTCACTGCCGCAGGATTGTGTAGGATTCAGGCAGTGGTCACCCCTCCACGGACCATATTCAAGAAATAATGGAGGAATTTTCAGGATTGAGGCTATATGCTATTTTTTTTAATGAGGCCAATTAGAGGATTTTGCAGGATTGAGGCTACATCCTAGCAAAAAGGCCTAGGGAATTTGGTAAAGAAACAAAAAACTTCACAGATTCACAAAAGCTCTGAACATGAATATATTTCCCAGTACTAATTGTTCTTGAGTGTACCTGTTTCTTACTGAGGCCACATTTACACCACCAGTATTTCTTGCCTGCTTCTAGTTTGGCTGTGGTTGGCATTTTCTTAGCGATGTATGTCCCCTTGCGCCCAACCTCAAGATGGCGAACTTGTTGCACATTCTGAAAAAAAATATGAAATACAAGATGACAAAAACTGCTGTAAAAAGGCCTTTAACTTTTCACCTTTGACCTCAAACTGCTACTGACTTTAATTCAGGTTTAAATGTCAGATGTTTAAGATTACATAGACATTCAAATAAGCAACTCTATTGAAATATTTTCTATAGCGAACTGCTGGTTTGTTTTTAAATCTTGTATGACAAAATAAAAACAATACAAAAACAATAATAAAAGCCAAATTTTGTATTATATAGACGTTTCACTCACAAAGTTGACAAAAGGATTGAACATGAAAGGGGTCACAATACATGTAGTACAGGGCGAGTCAAAACTTACTGAAATTGATCCATGCTATCAAAAGTTAAATACATATTTTACTAACAAAAGTTCATGGAATTTTATTTTGAAGCCAGTCAGCTAAGTGAATACAATGAGATTTTAAACTTTGAGTAAAGACTTAAATATTACTGTCAGATTTTGTGTTTTAAATATGAGGAACAAGTCTACTCTTCTTTCTGAAACGATGATGGTGATTGTTGTCAGTTTTCCTTTGCAAGTTTTTGTTTATTCATGGAGGTACATGTACATTGTAGCTAGAAAACCTTGATAATTTCATTGTATTTAAAGGGTATTAGGGTTTTCATCAATGCTGATCAGTTGTAGGCAGCTCAATTTGTGGAGGCATTTGTATTAAAAGAGAAGTAACACTAATTAGAGTATGCAAATTAAGTGAAATTAATCACATACTACCCAACAAGTTTCCTATGTTGTTTCCATTCAATGGAGCAGGCCGCTTTTTCCCCCCACTTTGGTCACTTTTATTTCTGACTCACCCTGTATAGGGATGAGAATGTAAATTTAAAAAGATTTGTAAAGCCCAATGTTCTGTTCCACTGCAACCCAAATTCCCTTCGACAACTTTTTTCCTGACTTCCCATCAAGGCAAAAATACTCCACGATCAGCTCCAATTTCAATTAGTACACATGCAGATTATGTGCATCAGTTGTGTTCTACAATGGGTATACATACAGAAATTACATTCATATGACCGGCTCTAATTTCTCTTTGCAAAAAATTTGCATAACATTGTAATTATTAACATCATTTTCCAAAATAACAGCACGGAAGAATTAAAATGATCAAGTTTTATTATGGTATGTTTATGTGGACATTGGTAAAAGTTAATATGTTGCCATGACTTTACACAATAAGATGTTCAGTAGCATACATTTGGGGTTTTGTATACTTAATGTTTAATATATAAAGGTTATTTTTTGTGTGATTGTTTGTTTTATTGGTTTAATATTTTAATATGCAAATATTTAATGTTGTGAAGGTAATTGTATACATATTCATCAAGGCTATTTCAATTTCCCAAGTGGGATAAAGTGTTTATCTATCTCTCCAAAATTAATGCATAAAGATACCCAATGGACGCTATGGCTGTTGGACAAACAAACACTTGAGAGATACGATGTGTAAAGCCATAGGTCATGAAGCAATTATTCAAACAGTGACAAGCTGGGCTGGGTTTGTTTGTTAAGGACATGCTGGCCTTGGAACACAAGTCCATGTATGTGTGTTGAGCCCTACTGGCAATATTCTGTGTGTGGTAGGCCTACTGGTAGTACAATGTACATGTACATGTGCCATGGAGGTAGGGTCTACTGTAGGTTTCCTATCTCCAGGATTGTGCAGTGCTATGTCCAGAGTTTGCCCAAAAAGTGCAACATTCAGAAAACAAATAATTAAAACTATATTGTATATTGTAGTAAAGCCTGACTATTTTTCAATCCCCTCCTTTTTATTCCATTCATATTTCCCATTCCATTTGGACCCCAAAATCCAGAAAACAATCAATTCAAGTTCAAGGGTGTAAATTTTACTTGGGCCATTCTCACCTGGACATGCTGAACCTTGGTTAAAGGGAATTACAACATTAATTGCAGCATAAGCAAATTTGCTTTTGCTGCAACTTTTAGAAATAGATGGATTTGCGGGATTAGTATAGGTTTTCCCGGTTATTTTAATAACACAGGCATGAAATGGGAAGTCACAAAAAAGAGGAAATTCAAATCTTTCCAAGACTGTACAGTGATTTTCTATTTTCAATGGCACACATTGGAATTGAAAAAAGAGGAAATCAGCTGATCCGAGGAAAAGTTGCATGCCTGTTAACACTTGTATCACACAAACTCCCTATATCGATACTTTAATTTCGTCACCGAACATCGCCAAGCTCAATTCTCTTTTGAATTTCAAAAGCCAGCACTAGGTTTCATTTAATGAAATATAATTCAAATATTTAGCATACCAATTCATCCTAAATTTGTCTCGTTTAGCAATCATCTCCTGTAGCAATTTTATAGCAAGTATTGTTACATACACTGACTTGTTTGAAGTTTTGTATTATATGCTGGGAAAACCAAGAAAAACAATCACATGTTCTTCTAGTCTGGTTCCCTGACACCACTTAAATTGAAATGGAGCAATTTATAGATGTCGGGGAATTGTATGGTCAGGGAACTGTATACCCTTCATAGATTTGTGTAATCATTGCAAACAAAACTTAGACTAACTAAATATGATATATTTGGGGCAGTGTTTAAAAAAATAATAATTCCAACACGGTCCACCTACCAGCCAGCGTTGGAAATTGATAAAAAAAATACCATTTTTCTTGAAAATGCCAGGCACCATGATTTAACAGGATGCTTAAGACTGTCATTCACTATCAGTCCAGTAAGGTATTTCAAAATAATTTGGTAATTTTGTAATTTGATGTTTGCAAATATTGTATTTACAGTAATATAATTAATTCCCTTTAAAGGGAATATACATCATTTGCTTTTGCTGTAATATTCAGGAATGGATGGAATTGGGGGTTGGAAATATATAGCAAATATAGTTACACTGACTTTTTGTATATTTTTTTCACATTTTCGTGAACAGAATATAAATAAACAATCATGAAATTGTCTGTAACGTCACACATCGTTCGCTGACAGAAGTAACAATTAAACCATTAATCACTATAAAAGCCACATATTTTTCCGATAAGAAAAGAGTCATAAAAGGGAGCTTTTGAGGGCACAGAAACTCTAAATGCATTGGCTGACACAGTCATGACAGTCATGACAGTGCAGAGTGTCCCGTGTTTCCCCGGTCGCGTGCTGGTTGTCGGCACATCGCGATCGCGTCGGGTCGGAACTGCACGCTACTACTTTTTGTCGTGAGAACATTTTTTTTTCTGTACATCAAAAAAACTTTAATTTATGTATAACAAAGATCATACCTTTGTGGATAACAACAGTCATTATTGCAACCCAGAACAGCACAATAATCACCTCCCATCGAACACAAACAGTCAGAAAAATGGACAGCCAAGAAATATCGTACACACCGCACCGTGTGTACGTTTTCCCCACCGCCGTGTGATGGCGCTGTTGCTCCGATTGCAGCCCCATGATCCTTTGCGGTTTGTATTTGCGATAAACCTTATGTCGTGTCTAGGCAAATGCTAGGCTAGAGGCTAGAGGGTAGCGGCGCGACAGTAGAAGAGGACTTGTTAAATGCGATATCAACAGTAAGTGGGACGACACTAGAGGGTGGCGGCGCGACAGTAGAAGAGGACTTGTTAAATGCGATATCAACAGTAAGTGGGACGACACTAGAGGGTAGCGGCACGACAGTAGAAGAGGACTTGTTAAATGTGATATCATCGGTAAGTGGGATGCAGCACATACAGTGTGCATCTACATACTTGTGTATCTATCAGTACCGCCCGTGATATATACTCATGAGCTTCTAGTGACGTCATAGTCATGCATATTCATTACGCGCTCTACTGTCGTACCATTTTATGCTACCGCTGATGAGCCATGCAAGCATCGTTCAACACGAGTCGAGCCTCGAGGCGTTTGAACGACCATGGGAAAATAACAAAAAAGATTTAAACATACCACAATATCCCCATAAAGTTGGACACCTCTATATCTTGCAAGAAGGCTTCTTGTTTTCGTTAATAGGTTAGACATTTTGAAGAAGTTTCAGAGCAGACGCCGTTACGTTTTTTTACAGGGACCGATCGGGGTCTATTCGCGTTTTTGTTTACATTTAAAATAGTCTGGCAACAGTGCGCCCGGTTTTCGCCAATGTCGCCTGACGAATCACCACGAATGGAGCTTGACAAGGCTGGGATTAAGACTCAATCAAGCTCAATCAAAATGGCAAAACTTATGACCCATTTTTTATTATTGTTTTTAGATTTTAATCCATTTTTTACGATAAATACTCCTTTTTTTTGTAATAATATATTTTAAATAAGTTTTACATTTGTTTTTGTAATTATTTTTATTTTAGTTTTTGATAATAAAATATATATTTTGAGTTTATACGGGTGAATGAACTTCTTCCTTGGCAACAAAATAGCAACACAGTGAAACGTCAACGTCAAGCTAACCGCGGAGTTGAGAGAACAAGTTGAGAACTTGAATTGTATTTTATTTTTAAATATCCGAAATAAAGTAAAGAAATAAACCGTTCAAGATGAGTTCAAGACAAGTTACAAGGTGGGCCCTAGTAGTAGTAGTACTAGTATGATATTTTTGTTGAAGGAAAGTGGTATTTCGTAAATTTATCGCAGTTCGCACTCTATCGACAATGGCAATGCAATGATTCGGTGAATGAATGATCGAAGAACGCGGTTTTCAACTGCTGAGCATGCCGGTCCTGTTGTGCGCTTTCTTGTGATTTGCGCAATCGTAAGAATGCGCATACACAGTCTTATGATTGCGCAACTGGTTCCTTGCGCAATCTTCGCAAAAAAAACAAACTTCCTGTTCCAGATTGAGCTTACATTTAGCTGGAGTTTACCCAGCCTGAGTTTTATCATTGGGTTGTCATCTCTAGGGCTACTCCTAGGCTACGTCCAAAAACACGAGGTCGTACGTCACAGACTGTTATGCATATTCATGAGTTTGCGCGGGCGCGCCTGCAT